ATTATTTAAAGGTTTTAATACTACATTGTACAAACACATTACAACATCATTAACTACAGTTCTTTGATATTATTGTACAAATGTTTTGTAACATATTATAATACAAATACATCACACAATTATTATAAAAATTATGACTCTCTCTTCACTCTAAATTAATCATTCTCTCCAATTTGTATGAAAAAAATCGGATTTCGACATTAGCTTACATATTTCCAATCACACGGTCACACATTGGTCACAACAATGATCATATGAGTTAACTTACTATATAATGTGTAATAAAAGAAACATATATGTCAAAGTATCATGCCATTCCACAGTTTTGGAAAGATAATTATCAAGCAGGTCTAGCACCAAAAACCTTTTTGCCTTTTTCAATGATCACAAGATCATAAATAGACAATGGTCGCATGGTCACATAGTCACATAGTCACATGGTCACATGGTTCATAAGGTCACAAGATCACGTGCTCACATGGTTCAAAATAATCAGAATTGTCATAACATACTATGACACATATATATGACTATAACATATTACAAATGATAAAACAACAAAAACATAAAAAATTAGAAGAAAATAATAACAAGATCCATAAATGTGCATGAAAAAACCGATATTTTGACAGTAGCTTGTATATTTCTAATTGTCTCATTGATTTATCCTTGATTTCGTCTAATTTCGTTGGATTTTTAAGACAAAATAGAAAAAAAAGAGAGAGAGAAAGCACAGAAGAGAGAGAAAGCTTGGTGGAGATTAATGGTGGGAGGAGAGAGAAATTGGAAGAAAAAAAGAGGAAAGAGAAACCGAAAAAGGAGGAGAGAGAAATTAGGGTAGGAAAGATTTTTTTAATTAAAAATTAAATATATGGAAGAAAAAAAGAGGAAAGAGAAACCGAAAAAGGAGGAGAGAGAAATTAGGGTAGGAAAGATTTTTTTAATTAAAAATTAAATATAAAATAATATTACAAGGTTATTTTGGTAATCTAACAAAAAAGAGGGTAGATTGGATGTTGGAATTTTTTTTTTTCAAGAGGAGGGTAGTATTAGAAGTCCTTGTAGCACATTGAGGGTAGAATAGAAGTTCCCCCGCTTTATATATTACAAGCAAAAAGTTTGGGACTTTAGCCAAATTCTCAACCAGGGGGGGGATTATCCAAAATACCCCAAATGTGCTAAAACTATTTCTAGGTCTACCCTCCACTTTTTTTAAAAAAATTCCAACTTCTAAAATACCCTTCTAAATGCATATTTCCCATTTTACCCTTTAATATTTTAATTAATATAATTTTTTTTATCATTTTCTCTTTCCTCACCGATTTCTCTCTCTTCATTAATGTTTTTTATTTATTATTTTTTATATTTTCTCTCTCCTCATTTATTTTATTTTATTTTTATTTTTT